AAAAATAAGTATTTTGCATGGGATAAGTTCTTCTGGGTGAGAAAACAAGGAGCCAACAAAACAACCTGTTCGACGATTTCATTGCTCAGAAATCCAGGAAGGTTGAGCTCGTCACGTGCTTCAAACTTGAGAGCTATTTCTTCCCCGCAGCCTCCGGCAATTACTTGTGCTTCACAAACAAGTTTACAAGCAGCCGCCAGTTCAACTTGAATCTGGAAAGATCCAAAGGTGTTCATAATTATGAATGAAACGTGCTTGGCGTAGTACCTCGAAAGCTAAGCTCATAAGTTGATAGTCCGAGTGCCATGCTCGTCCTTCCCACAATCCAGGAGTCTTTGGCATAGTGAGTCCCCTTAGCTGACACTGTCCCTTGTTGACGACATAGCAAATGTCTTTGTCCCAGCTCATTGAGATTGTGCCTCCTATTGCTGTGTCGACGTTACCAGCTTCGTCCACAACATGAATGTTGAGTCCGGTAACTTCCCGTCCAATGTAAGATCTTTTTGGTTGCTGAAAGCAAATACAGTTTCGCTTCTCGAATGGAAAATGGATAGGCATATTGTGCTCACCTCAAATGCAAATTTCAAGGTTCGACTAGCGCCCTTGAAAACTATTTCGAACATTACGATGTCGTCCTCCGAAGAAAGGACGATGGAACCTGAAAACCCACAATGAAGCAGCATTCTAGCTTTGCATCAAAACAAGCACCTGTCAAGTTGTATTCCTTTGCGACTCTGAGTTCGCTCAAGCGAACAATGCCGGCTCCATCAGTTTCGACTTCTTGCTGTGAGAGGTGTACGCCAGATAGCTGGAGACGCATCCGAGTTCCCTGCCTAACGGAGTTTCCCCATTCATCGAATCCCTGCAGCATTACAATCTACATTAATATGGTGCAATGACAAAAACAGTGCCTACCTTGAACACCATGCACGGGAAGTAACTGTCTGGATCCAGTGGTTGCTTGACGCAAAACATCGATCCAGAAGGAGCGAGCTCGAGAGAGCTATTCACAAGCTCCAGTCGTGCAAGCTTGCCAGGATAAACTGCGGAAGAAAAACAAAGCATCATTGAGGAAGAAACAACCGAAGCTATCAAGATAACAGCTGATAACCTTGACATCTCCAGTGTCCAAGCTTCTGGTTTCCAACGTAGAAGCATAGACGAGCGTCGTGAGCCGGCAGTATGCAGCCCCGAACTATGAAGTTCTGTGGAGCAGACATTATAAGCAAACCCGAAAAGAGGTTTGAGACTTACTGCGACATTCATTTTGTCCTTCTTTTGGGAAAAGCTCACGCTCTCACGTCCAAGCGAAACTGTACTAAGCCTCGTGCTCTCCAATGTCTCGAGAACCATGCACAAATTCGA